TACAAACTGCACCTTTAAAGAATCACATACTGATAGTGGGTTTTTTATTTTACAGTAAATGTTACTGATTAGAGATGAGGGGATAATGACGGTTGGAGCTGGAAGCCTCGACAAGATGAGAGCAAACAATAAAGCACAAAGTTTCATGAGCTGAGCCCCATCTAAAAAAACAAATCTTAACTCAGTCCGTCAGCAATGTTTTACCAAGCCCATCCAAATTATTTTGCTGGGGGGGAGGTCGAGTCACCACCGTGCCCTCTGTGCCAGCAGATGGAAACCCTGGAGCACATCCTCAGCTGCTGTTTTAAAGCCCTGGGTGAGGGACATTACTGCTGGTGCCATGAACAGGTCCTCAAGGCCATGGCTGACACTATTTGTAATGGAATCAGGCAAGCACCTCTGCCCTGTAAAGAGGACCATTACATTTGTCACTGCTGGGGACATGCTAAAATCAGCTGCCAGGACCTCCTCCTTTGGCCTGATAGCACCAGCACAAGACTGGGAGCTGAGAGCGGACCTGGGGAAACAACTGTAGTTCCCAGAAACTATTGCCAAAACAATACAAAGGGCAGGGATGATTCTGATCTCATAAGCCCCTAAGCAGATCATTTTCTTGGAACCCACTGTTCCCTAGGAGGAAGGTACTGAGAAGGCCAACAAGAGGAAGAGGGCAAAGTACGCTGAGCTAGTGGAAGAATTCTAAAGCAATGGATGGCAAGTATGGTGTTTGCCCATAAACAGATTCTACATATATATGCAGAATCTATGGATGACAGGACAAGATTTTAGTATCAGAAGTGTTCTAGTTTCTGTCTGTAGTTTGTTTGTAGTCAGACTAGTATTGACCAATCACACACTGGCTGAAATACAATCTCTGAACACATCTGGGCATTACAGGGGCCACTAGGAGAAGGGCCATCGAGATGGCCACTGAGGCAGCATAAGTTGACTGTGATGGCTGTGGATCAGGAGAGGAGAGCTGTGGGTAGGATATTGCTACTTGGACACAACCCTACTCAAGTTTAAAAATAACACATATAGGCCTCCAGTTATTTTCTGACCAGCATTTGTATCAGAATGGCCATGACCCAGTTCAGCCTGTTTGCAGTGGCCAGTGGTGTGCACAGAAAGACACTAGGTGGTGCTATAGCACCTGCCATTTGCCCTCTGGACCAAGCAAGTGCCCTTTTGAAAGTTAGTTTTTTCTTTTTACAGTGTACTGTATGTGGCCCATGTTGACACATCAATTCTCGATTAAAAGCGTGTAATAATAATTGTCCCCTAAGCCTCAGTTGCCAAGCTATAACTTGCATTTATTTGTCTTTGTTGTGAAGTAGCCTGTCTCATATACAGCGCCAAACAGCTGAGCCTAAATTAGCTGTCTGTCCACCTGCTTAACAAACTAGACCCTTGCCAAAATCAATAATGGATATAACGTGATGACCACCACACAACCAGTGTCGGTAGAATTTGTCATTGGTACAGTGTGTGAAGCTATCAGTATACTTTAGCTGAATATTTAGTATCGTGTAGGTTTACATTAGGCTACATAATTAACACTTGCAGTAATTTATTTGCTAAATGACAAACAGGCAATTCCCAATTGCCTGCAGAAAAAGTAGCCAGCCGTCTGCCTTGTTGTAATGTCACCAAGCAGTCTTATTCATACTGTTGATCTCTTTTCATTTACCAATTGCAGCATAATGCCTAGAAAGGAAAGGCTGAGAAAAGAAAAAGAAAGGGAGCTACAGCAGGCAGCCCAGAGAAGCAGCTCTCTGCTCTCCTGGATAAAGCCATCTACTAGCAGCAAGGAGGATGAGGAGGCAGATGTACCTCCTCAACCCACTGATGAAGAAGAAAGGTCAGAGTCAAGACCAGAGACTGTTTAGGGCCTTTTAAAGCTCAGATTTTAAAGTTGAACTGTTCCTCTAATTTTATTGAAATATCTTTATTATTTAAATATCTTTATTTATTTAAATATCTTAAAGCTATATTAGCTAATTATATTATTTTGTACCAACCATAAGTTATTTCTATATTACAACACTTGCAGTAATCTTGTATTTACCTTAATAGGCTATTATTAAAACTTTGACAATGACAAATAGCCTATTAAAATTTGTCTGCAGAACACGTTTTTCTCACACTGCTATAATAAGGCAGCCGGCGGCTCCACATGCCGCACAAGGTGCCCTTATTTTTCACTGAGCACCTGCCCCCCAAAATGTCTGTGCATGCCACTGGCAGTGGCTGTATCTGTGCCAGAAATGTCACAGATCACATGATGTAGTTCTACTGTTTCTCCAATGGGTGGTGGTAATTAACCTCATGCCAGGCAGTACTGACTGTAATGTAAGCCAAATTTGTGTGGGGAAATGGAGATAGATAGATGGTCTTTATTGTCCCAGGAATTAATTTGTTTTCACAGTTTGCTCATGTATCTTGCATGATAAAGATACATATACTGCAAAGCACACCACATATACATGAATGTGAATATATATGTGTATGTGATACTATACACTGATCAGCCAAAACATTAAAACCACTGACAGGTGAAGTGAATAACATTGATCATCTTGTAACAATGCAATGTTCTGTTGGAAAACCTCGGGTTCTGACATTCATGTGGTTGCCACCTGACATGCTCCACCCACATGAACACCAGTGCAGAACAGGTACCCCTCCCTATTTACCATGGTACTGCCATCCACAATGCCATCGTCATGAGGGGGTTTACTTGGTCTGCAACGGTGTTCAGGTGGGTGGAGCACATCAAGTAGCATCTACATGAATGAGGGGATCAAAGGTGTACCAGCAGAACATTGCATTGCAAGGTTATTCACTTCAACCAGTGGCCAGTGGTTTCAGTGTTTTGGCTGATTAGAGATTATGTGGGGATATAACGCACTGTATATAGGAGCATGAATATACACCAATCTACCTCCATGTAGTTTGTATGTCTCCACCTGTGATAGACCCTCCAGGGAAGAAATTGTGGAGAGTTTGGAGTCCTGAGGAAAACAACAACAAAACAAAACACTGATGTGCAAAAACCTATTAAAGAGAAAGATGAGGATATTCAGGACTGGAAAGAAGCAAAAGTTCAAAAATGTGTTCAGTGGGATTGAAGTTTAATGTTTGCTATTTACCATTTTTCACAGCTATTATCTACAACAGCTTTATATTGAAGCCTCAATTTCTCCCAGTTTCTGGATATGATGGAAATGTAGGCAGATATTTCACAGTTTTAGTCAACTTGAGATCATCAAAAATGAAAGATGCAGATGAGAGCGCAACAAACTGAATGTCTGTCCAATGCTCCTGTGACTATAGGTCTAGTTAGGGACTGTTGTAAAAGTGCAATACGACCCATTTCAGTATATGTGTAATTTTAATATGTAATTTCAATGTTTTCTTATTCATGAAAATATTGACAACAAATCCCCTGTGATCTGTCTTTGACAATCCTCACACAACTTTCACGTCTGGTAGTTTGTGTAAAAGCCCTTTGCAAATCTCTTAACATAATTACCTGTGACTTATTGCCTAAAATAAAAGCATTTCAAGGCTGTTATTTCAATGGCTTGCTCTTTTATGAATATATCGATGTCATGTCACAAGCCATGTCTCATTGCCTTAAATAAAACAATTTCAAGGTTGTGATGTCATTTGCTCATTTATAAAAATGTAGATGTGAAACCCCCTCTGGTGTGTCTTTGACATCCTTTCCAACTTTTACAGTTGTTAGTTTGTGAAAAAGCCCTTAGCAAATCTCTTAACATCATTACCAGTGACCTATTGATTTGATATGCACAATTCAAGGGTGTAATTTCAAAAACGTGATCATTTATGAATATATTGACATTGAAAGACTTCTCACGTGTGTTCTGTTTCAAAATTCTAATATATACATATATATATATGTGTGTGTGTGTGTGTGTGTGTGTGTGTATATATATATATATATATATATATATATATATATATATATATATATACATATAGGTCCACAAAATCAGGCATCAGGCTTCCATTCAGAGACTTACTTCTTTGGTTTTTGGCTTTGAGAGAGAGTAGCTCATGCTCACAAATTTTGATTTAACGTTCCTAGGTCCCAGAAATAACATATTGGAATTCTAAATTTAGGTGGTGTTTCCCTTTAAGACTAAGCTGAGGTGAAAATGTTGACATTTCTTTTTGTTCAGTCCATAATATGGAACTTTTTGAAAAATCCTGCAAGAAGTACAAGTGCAACTAAATAAAACAGCAGGAAGTGCATTTTATTCAATGGCTGTGACTTCAAGGAAATGTGTTGCAAGGAAAAGAAATGCATAAAAATTCCAATGAATATGAGTTACAGAAAGTCACTCAGACTTTAAGAAAATGTAAAAATAATAAACTTTACAAAGGAAATAGATACAACAACAAAACAACAGAGGTCGGTTATTAGCTGCCAGGTAACTGACGTGGACATTCTTTTGAAACCAGTCTTTTCTGTGTGCAGGTGATCAACAATCTATGCTTTGTAAGGACTGTGTGGGTGGGGTTTAACAAGATTTACAGAGATGTTGCGTCATCTTTTTTCCACTGAGCCCTGCCCGTCTTCAAACCAGGAAGAAACTAAACTTTTTAATTGTGTCTTCATGAAGGAGCCCATTGCTTAATGGTTTTCAGAGCCTTTAAGACTAGCTCAAAGGTCAGAGTATGGCAAATAACAGTTATGATTAAGGTTAGGGTAGGCCTTCAGGGAATGGATGAAAGTCAGGAGAATGTCCTCATTAGTATAGCAGTGTGAATGTTACATGTGTATAGCCTTACGGGAAATAACCCCTCTGGATAAGGTTAATTACCACCATCTACTGGAAACACAATAGAACTGTCATGTGATCTGTTATATTTCTGGCACAGATACATCCTCTACAAACAGGTTGAACTGGTAAAAGAATGTAAAAATAAAGCCAGGAGCATGTGAAAGAAATAACTCAGGCACACAAACCCTCAGGAGCAGCAGACGGAGAATACAGAGTGCTTTCTGGTTTAATACTTAGTGGTTTTTAATTATGATCTGGATGTAAGTTTGACAGGTAAGAATCTTTACCTACAAATGACTTGTCGGTGAATAATAGAGATGATCATATCCCTCGAGGTTTAATGGAGCCCTTACTGTGAAAGTCAGTCCAGCTTGTTTCTGTAAAGTGTAGCTCCAACATGAATGTGTCTGAGGAGACAGAGGACACGGGCTCTGCCTCTGATGTCACTCCATCTGAGCAACATGACTGTCAGACCAGAGATATGAGGTAAGATTACATTTTCTGCGACTGTTTATGACTGTTCACCATCTCAGAGCTCTAAAATCAACTTGTAACAAACCCACCTGTACCCAGCTGTGTGTCCACGAAGAGTGAACAGTGGATGGCAATTGGGTTCAAGGGTCGAGGCCATTCTGATAAACAAATGTAAGAAATTAAAACATGTCTGTTTGTTATTTACTGATTTGGATTTGAATTAGAGTCAGAAATTCACATAAGTTCAATTCATAACTGAGAGTTTGAATTAATGTCTATGTTGTGTTAAAGCCCACCAAAGCAGGAGAGACAAGATCCACCTTTGCTAGACAATGTGTCCGTGAGGAGTGACCAGTCTAAAAGTGAACCTATTGAGTTCAAGAAAGGAGCACCAATCAATGAGACAAGGTAAGTATTTAAAGCATGAGTATGTTAATGCATTTGACTTGTACTATATCTGATTCAAATGGGACCTCTTATTATTGTTATTATTACTATTGTTTACTCTGTTATGGGACCTGAAAGCGACAGGAATTTTTTGTGGTAGTGGGATGGGACAGTAATGAAAATCGACTCTGTGTCACCCTCTAGTTCTGTAGTCTCATTTAGCTGCTTGTTAGCAACTGCCTTTTTTAAGACATGTAAATTTCATGTGTGGGGTATCCACTGACATATTTTTCATCATAGCACAAAAGTGAAAACTTCTTAAGCTTGTGTTAACTACAGATCTTATTTCAGGCATCTAATGTAACTAAAAGCCCATTCAAAAAACCCATTGACTTGAGGGAACTAAAAGTGGTGAACCACTAACTCATTTACGGGATTTAGGATTCATTCCTGCGCCACTCTGTTGCAGCTGGGGAGAATAGTGGTAATTTCTACCATGAAAAATCTCCAATAAAGGCTTCAAAACACAACTGGACATGTTTTAGCAGGAATATGACCCCAAATTGCGGAGAAATGAACACTACAGTATGAACAACCAAGATACTTTCCTGACGTTAGCATGTAGCTACATACAGCAGTGTATTTGCAGCTGGGGAAAGACTGTGTAGCAGCATTTTTTCCTGTTAAATATCATCAATAAAAGCTTCTTAACACAATCAAACATGCTCCAGCAGGAGTACGATCCGCAAACAGGAAGAAATTAACAACACTGGCAACCGAGATTACATCTTTCTCTGGCGCTAGCATGTAGCTTCATGTAGCAGTGTAGGCTACATAATGTAAATGTGCTTGCAGTAGTGTGCCTGGAACAGATGACCATATAAAGAGATCCCTCACAATCTGATGTCGGCAATATACATACATACATACAATACGGGAACTGCCCATTGGTTCGACTGCCCATTGGTTCGACATCCCATTGCTCCGACCATATTAAACTCATTGTTCCGAAGTCCGTTCCGAAATCATCATGATGCCCTGTGGTTAAGGTCTGGTTAGGTTTAGGCACAAAAACCACTTGGTTAGGGTCAGGAAAAGATCATGGTGTGGGTTAAAATGAAAAAGAAAATGACAAACACATAAGCAGTGAGCCTGCTCAACCTCAAGCCGGTCGCGGAGCACCATAAGCCCGACACAAGCCGTTCAGCACCGCAGACAGTCAGACTAATGGGATGTCGAACCAATGGGCTGTCGAACCAATGACATGGACCCATACAATACAATAAAACCTTGGAAACAGAGCTGTCAGGACTGTCTGAAGACATAAGTTTTTGCTCACAGGGATGGCGTTTACATACATTTATCTCATCATTTAAAGCCATGTTTAACATGAACATCTGATATTGTAAAATTATAGCTTATGACAGATAATGAGGTGAATAACAGTAGGTACTCTTTAAGGTGAGTGGAGAGAAATGTTCCCATTCCATCAGATGAAAGTGAAAACCTCTTTGGATTAAACTTTTTCTGCACAGTGAAGTCCAAAACGCCAAGTGAAGTAACAGAAAGCAAATCACTTTTTTTAATGGAGGGGTACTTTAGGATCAGTACATAACTTGTTTGATTGTAAAATGTTTATGTTGTGTTGAAGCCAAGTACAGCAGGAGAGACCAGACTCATCTGGACCCAGCTTCGTGTCCTTCAAGAGTGACAGGTCTTTGGGGGAGCCAATTTATTTCAAGGATGGACGCCAGTCTGATAAGCAAATGTAAGAATTTAATATGTGTAAGTTTGTTATTGTATACTTTTACTGGTTTGAATTCACCAAAGCTCAGTTCATAACTGGGAGTTTGAATGTTTATGTTGGGTTGAAGCTAAGCAAACCAGGAGAAACAAACCCACTTGTACCCAGCTGTGCGTCCATGAGTGATGTCTTCCTACAGAAGTTTTTTATTGTGTGAATTTACTAACCACTAAGAGGTTGAGAGATCTGAGCTCAAGTCAGAATTGTGAAATTCATTGAAGTTGTGGTACCTGACGACGATCAATCAGCATTCATCAGGGAAACCACATTGAGAGCATTGTTTTCCTCTTGCAATTCAAAGGCATGCAGTTTAGGCTGACTGGCCTCTGCAAAGGTGGAGATAATAAAAATATGGATGGATTTGTCACGACAATGAAATGTTGCTATTCATCAGTGCAGGTAGATTGATGGTCGAGGTGTGTGTGTGTGTGTGTGTGTGTGTGTGTGTGTGTGTACTTAATCGCCCTCTGAGGACAAAAATCTGTCTGAGTAAAATCTGAGTAAAATTATTTGGATCCACCTTGTGCGTGGAGACAAAAGCAGGTCTCCAGAATGTAAACCATTTATTTTAGAGCTCTGAAAAGGTAAACCTTGATATTAAATTAGTGTAGTTTAAAGTGTTTTTTCTTTAACAATTGTCAATACAAATTATCCTTCCCCCGAGCCCTTTAGCGAAGTTCACTGTTGTGGAGTTTGTTTGTGTGAAATGACCTCATGTTTTCTGGATCTACAGAGCTCACTGGGTGAGGTCAGAGGTTCCCAGTAATGGGGCAACCAAGAAGCACCAACAAAACCTGGACTCAATTTTTATGGTATGTAAATGTGTGTTCTGAAATTAAATTGCATGCGCTAAATTTGTATGTGCATCAGTGGAGATGAATGCTGTGATTTTTATCTGAATACAATTTTAAACACTTTCAGAGTCAACATTATACAGATGTTGACTGATGTTTCTGTATGCTTCTTGGTTTAGCACTCTTTCAAAGCTGTCATGAGTTTTATTGTCTGGAAAGTCCCACATATTCAAACCTGTTTGTTTGCATCGTCAGGCCATGACAGTCACTTCCTGTTGATGCATTAGATGAGCTCCAACAATGTGTTGCACTAACTGGTCTTAACAGCTAAGGCAGTCTTTGTTTGGACTTTAAATTGATTTTACGTTGGTTGTACCAACCAAACTAAAGCCTAGTCTTGAACAGATCCACTGCACGTTCATATGAATGCCCAGCAGCTGGATACATGGATACGCTGGATACATTGTTATCATTCTCCTGCTGTCTGGCGTATGTATAGCAAATCATTCATCATTTGCAGAAACATTTTTATGGGGGATCAGAGAAAATAAAAAGGAAATTTCACAAACATCATGATACAAAAAATGATAGAGCTCCACAGGAAACATGAGAGGAGAGAAAAAGTAAATAAAATTGGCTGCAGCTTACAAACTCATGGATGGACAGTGTGTTGTTTGTACCACATCAGCATCTGAAAAGAAACAGTTGCAGGTGAGTTTATAATGTTGCTTAATGTGCTGCAGGTGACCAGCTATTTAGCTTGTTATCTTGCTTGATAACTGACATTAGTAGTGCACTTTTTCACTGGTGAGTAATTGTTTGCTCACAGTTTAACATGCCAAGGTGAAGGACAAGATGTGTGTTCATGTTTGTAAGTCAGCTAGATAAAAAGAAGTTTGTGGTTTTTGTATTGTGTGTAAGGCTGCTGATACAGGCTATGGAAACAGCCTAGATTTTGATTTTACTCCTCACTAGGCATAAGATTTAGGCCTACGCACCGTTTTAGCAAGAACAAGTCTTAAGCCTAGATGGTGCAACTGGTGTAATCATTAGGTTGGATTTAAAACACCAAGTTATGACCACCTCAGCTGAAGACCAGGCATGAGCCCTGTTGGTGCAACAGGCCCCAGGTGGTTTATTGCATGTGCAAGTTTGCTATGTTTTATAGCGGTAGGTACCCGCTGCAAGTGTCACATGAGGAGGCAGGTGTTCCTGCAGTAACAATTTTTGGCGACTGGAGCATCAGAAGCCAGATGTGTCTTTCAGCAGAGGCAGATAGACATGAGATATAATTCATGTCTCTTGTTCTGGGTACCTTGGGTGTTTTGAAAGGTGCCTTTTTGAATAAAATGTGTTATTATTTATTATCTAATTATTGGAGTTCTTTGTTTTCAACATTGTAAGAACATTTTTAAATGATACACTTTACTCTTCTAGCTTCTTGAAGAGAGCATTGTGACATTTGTGAGAAACGAGCTGAAGAAGTTCAAGAAAGTTCTGGATTCACAAGAGCCAGAGTCCTTAGAGAGGCTGAGAGAGGATGATGACATCTTTGCTGGTGAAGAGGAAGAGCAGAGAAAAAGCAACAGAGAGGCATTTCTGAAGCTCACACTGAACTTCCTGAGGAACATGAAGCAAGACCAGCTGGCTGACTCTTTGCAGAACAGTAAGACACTTTTGAGAATAACAAACCACTCCCGTAAATATGGAATTTTTCTTTTAGATCTATGAATCCCAAATTTGAACAAACTTTACAGTAATCTAACTTTAAATTGTCTGAATAATATGCTCAAATGTGAAGTTGTTAATGTGGGATTGGATTCCTGAATAAAGTAGTCATTATTATCTAATCATTATTTTAAATTAGAGGTAAATTGTGATTTGCAGAACCAGACCACTGAGAAATATACACATCAAAAGGTGTCTCATTTCACAAATGTACCGCAACAATCATTGACTGAAGTTGCCTGTTGTTTCCTCAGAAACTTGTGCTGCAATTTGCCAACATAAACTGAAGTCTAAACTGAAGGACAAGTTTCAGTGTATATTTGAGGGGATTGCCAAAGCAGGAAACCCAACACATCTGAATCGGATCTTCACAGAGCTCTACATCACAGAGGGAGAATGTAGAGAGGTCAATGATCAACATGAGGTTAGACAGATAGAGGCAGCATCCCGAAAACTGGCAAGTTCAGAAACAACAATCGGATGTGAGGATATATTCAAATGTTTACCTGGAAGAGGTGAACCAGTCAGAACTCTGGTGACAACAGGAGTGGCTGGTATCGGGAAAACAGTGTTAACGCAGAAGTACATCTTGGACTGGGCTGAAGGCAAAGCCAACCAGGACATACAGTTCATGTTTCCATTTACTCTCCGAGAGCTCAATTTGCTGAAATCAAAAAACTACAGCTTGGTGCAACTTGTTCATGACTTCTTTACTGAAACCAAAGAAGCAGGAATCTGCAGCTTTGAAGAGTTCCAGGTAGTGTTCATCTTTGATGGTCTGGATGAGTGTCGACTTCCTCTGGACTTCCGCAACAATGAGATCCTGACTGACGTTACAGAGTCGACTTCAGTTGAAGTGCTACTGACAAACCTCATCAGAGGTAAACTTCTTCCGTCTGCTCGTCTCTGGATAACCACACGACCTGCAGCGGCCAATCAGATTCCTCCTGAGTGCATTGACATGGTGACAGAGGTCAGAGGGTTCACTGACTCACAGAAGGAGGAGTACTTCAGGAAGAGATTCAGAGATGATAAGCAGGCCAGCACAATTGTCTCCCACATCGAAGCATCACGAAGCCTCCACATCATGTGTCACATCCCAGTCTTCTGCTGGATCACTGCGACAGTTCTGGAACATGTTCTGAAAACTAGAGAGAGAGCAGAGCTGCCCATGACCCTGACTGAGATGTATATCCACTTCCTGGTGGTTCAGACCAAACAAGGGAATGTGAAGTATCACAGCAGTGCAGCGACAGATCCAGTCTGGACCACAGAGACCACAAAGACCATTCTCACTCTAGGAAAACTGGCTTTTGAGCAGCTGGAGAAAGGAAATCTGATTTTCTATGAAGCAGATCTGAAAGAGTGTGGCATTGACATGAAAGCTGCCTCATTCTACTCAGGACTATTCACAGAGATCATCAAAGATGAGCATGGGCTGAACCAGGACAAAGTGTTCTGCTTTGTCCATCTGACTGTCCAGGAGTTCTTGGCTGCTCTCTATGTCTTCCTGACATTCATCAACACTGGCATCGATCTACTAAGAAGAAGAGGGCGGTTCACTTCAGTTCATGCTTTGCCATTAAAACATGAATTCAAACACCTCTACCAGAATGCAGTGGACAAATCTTTGCAGAGTCCAAATGGACATCTGGACTTGTTTGTCCGCTTCCTCCTGGGCCTTTCACTGGAGACCAACCAGACTCTCCTTCGAGGACTGCTAAGAAAGAGAGGAAGTAAACAAGATGTCAAAGAGATGCTACTACAGGACATCAAGAAGAAGATCAGGGACAGCCCTTCACCAGAGAGAAGCATCAATCTGTTCCACTGTCTGAATGAGCTGAATGACCATTCTCTAGTGGAAGAGATCCAACAGCACCTGAGATCAGGAAGTTTATTTGGGAAAAAACTTTCTCCTTCTCAGTGGTCAGCGCTCGTCTTCATCTTACTGTCATCACAAAAAGACCTAGATGTGCTTGACTTGAGGAAGTTCTCTGCTTCAGAGGAGGCTTTTCTGAGGCTGCTGCCGGTGATCAAAGCATCCAAAACAGCTCTGTAGGTGTACACATACATGGAAGCATAAAATGTGTTAGATGTGGTAATTTCTATGCCAAAGAGCAAGGGAAGACTTTACTCTCAAACTTTTTTCTTCTTCAGGTTGAGTGGCTGTAACCTCTCATCCAGAAGCTGTGAAGCTCTGGCCTCCATTTTCAGTTCCAAAAACTGTAGTCTGAGAGAGCTGGACCTGAGTAACAATGAACTGCAGGATACAGGAGTAATGCTGCTCTCAGTTGGACTTAAGAGTCCACACTGTAGACTGGAGATTCTCCGGTTAGTATTTCTTAAAAAAAAAAAAAAAGGTTACTATTTAAATACATTAATGTCCATTTGTAGTCTTTCAAATTTACAGGATGCATCATTAAAGTTATCTGACCTCTTTAGAATTCTGTTCTCTGTTTGTCTTTGTTCTTCTAAAAACTGTCATTGTCAGAAGTGAGCTAAAGGTGAACCTCTCAATTTAACAGTTATTTCAGAAAAATGATTGATTAATGAGGGTGTACTTTGTGTATGTGTTTGCAGAATGTCAGATTGTCTGATCACAGAGAAAGGCTGTGCTTTTCTGGCTTTAGCTCTGAAGTCCAACCCCTCCCACCTGAGAGAGCTGGACCTGAGCTTTAACCATCCAGAAGACTCAGGAATAAAGCTTCTGTCTGCTGGACGGGATGATCTGCACTGGAAACTGGAAACTCTCAAGTAGTAGATTATATAATTGTACAGATACAGTTGTAAAGTTTTCTGTGGGCATGTGTCCATGTGACTTTCTGTGTCATTCACAAGTCTGTACCTCTCCCCTAGGACTGATCACTGTGGAAAATGTCGACTGTACTCAGCACCTCTCAGATGTAAGTTAAACTTTTCTAGTGTCACTGATCTGATTCATCCTCATGTAAAAAGGTTAAGCATTAATGGGATACTTTGCTGATATTTAGCCACCTTTATATCATATCAATGCGGGTAGTGTGTGTAAATGAACTATGGTTAACATCCCTCCATTTTACTCATGCCCAAATTACCCTGCTCCGCTCCCAGCATAAATTGCACCATCTAGCACATTTTTGATGGCTCTCAGGCTGTTGAATGGATGTATAAAGAAACCTAGCTACAGCATTGAAGGCAGGACCCCGTTCATTCCTATATTCCATGCCTAAATGATAGACCAGAACTTGAATGGGGATACAATTATTTAATCATTCAGCTATCTAGACTTCCCAAGATGTCAGGCCAAACTGATTAAATCTTCATAGTAAAACAAATCATTTCGAGGAGGTTGTGCTGCTCCTAAAAATTTAATCCACTGATTTACAGATGTCTCTCTTGCCATGAAAGTCAATATGAAAATGCCATTTGGGCCTCAGGGTGTCAAGTGATGGTGTAATTGCATTGTTTGGCCACTACAAAAATTAACTTCAAATCCAAAGTCAAACCATGGGGCCTGGAATGTCATCGGTCAAACTACGTTCCCCACTCGCCATACTCCCATTTTTGCATGCCTGCCACCATGGACACAATAAATGTATAAACAGAACAAGAAAGAGACTCGTCTTCTCTCACTCTCTCTCAAATTCAGACCAAACTTCAATCAAACTGTGAATCTAAACCATGCTGATAAACTATAAACCAAGATTCTGATACTACCTACTTTTTTGTGTAAAATGTCTTCAGAAACATTTTAGTGTACTGTTTGGCTGTAATACAAAAATTTGTGAACTGGAAGTGGGCACTATTCAGGTCCATGTACTTTGAAAAAAGAAGATTCCCTTACTGCATTGCCTATTTCGTGCCTCAAAGGTTTTCAGAAAAAGATTTCAGTGTGCTGTAACTCCAGATTGTTTGTTACCGCCTGCCCCAATATTGTTATTGTTATTGTTATTATATCTTCTGGAAAAAACGTCCAAGCTCGCATTACATCACCCACCAGCTGGAGGGTTTATTGGTCCTGTATGGCACTGTGCATTCTGATAGTTGTAGGTTTTCTACCTATTGACCAAAAACATTGATATCAATGCTCTGAAGTCCTGCAATAAAAGTGGCCCATTATTATAACAATTTTAGTCTGATAATAAGACTGAAATGCCATTTAGTTTCACCTCATTCATTTATTTTGTTTTGTCCTTATTATCTAGTGAGTTATGCGTCTGTCCACCCAACATCATGTGAAGCTGCAGTTGTGGTTAACTTAAGTCACCTGACATGTTTATGTCTTATTTCCTTCATTAGATTTCTGTGAGCTTTCACTGGACCCAAACACAGCAGACAGAAACCTCTTACTGTCTGACGACAACAGAAGAGTAATGGTGGTGAAGGAGAAGCAACCCTATCCTGATCATCCAGAGAGATTTGACAACTGGAAACAGCTGCTGTGTCGCGAAGGTCTGACCGGGCGCTGTTACTGGGAGGTCCAGTGGAAAGGAAGGGTTCATATAGGAGTGACATACAGAGGAATCAAGAGGACAGGAGACAGCGATGACTGCTGTATTGGATGGAACGATCAGTCCTGGAGTCTCTTCTGCAGCGGTCAGAGTTACACTCCGTGGCACAATAACAAACCAGTGGACATCGATACACACCCACCCTCTGAGTCCAAAAGAGTAGCAGTGTATCTGGACTGGCCTGCTGGCACTGTGTCTTTCTACTGTCTCCCCTCCATTGTCTCTTCGCTCAAACGGATCCACCTCCACACCTTCCACTCCACATTCACTGAACCCCTCTACCCTGCCTTTGGGTTTGGGCGAATGCGTGAGTTTGAGACTGAATCAAGATTTTTACCATCCTCAGTTCATCTGTCACAGGTTGAGGGATAAATGTTTCCCCTTGTGTAGAACAGTGGTTTTCAAACTGGCGTGTCTTAGGGACAGTACCTAAAGTAAGTGTGGAAATATTTACTGTAAGAGCCAAAGCTATAGCCATGGAGTCAAACCTGCAGACCCTGCTGGAGGGTCATCATGTTTTCAGGTTGGTTAAGAACACCTTGAGGGACTTTATTTAAATTTTGCACAAACCTCCATTTGTAATCAAAGATTAACTGATCAGATTTTTTTAGTCAGGGGCAATTTTATATCAAGTGGGCCAGACCAACAAAACTACTGTAAAATAGCATATAGATAACACCAGCTACAATAATTTCCCTTTCTTTTGTTGTAAAGAAGTACAAGGACATTCTGTAAATATCCTTTTACAACAAAATGATAAAACAGTTTTTCCACATTCAGTCAGTCTACTCTTCACTGTCATTACATGTGTATTTTTATGTGTATTTCCACCCCTGTGTAGAAATGCTGGCATCAACACACCAAACTAAAGTGGAAGCTACTGAAGCTGCTGATTGACAATACTGTATTCTGGTCAGGGTGGAGAAGCCTTTGAAGCTGCATTTTACATGAAGGCCACTTACTGTTGAACTTGCTCCTGAAACCTGCCACCTCTTAGCCTTCACAAGTGCATCAATATTAGATGTGCAAAGTCATCCAGCGGGCCAGGTTTGACCCTTTGGCAGGCCAGTTCTGGTCCATGGGCCATATGTAAATGCCATATGTAAATATAAATAGAGCTCAAAGAAATGTTTATTAATTTATCTCAACACAGACTAACAGACCTGAGCCAGCCAAAACACCTGAAGTCAAATAGTATAATGAAATGGCTTTTTGTAGATAGCTAAAACTTGCTGTCCCATACTGAAATGCCATTGAAAACCGATGCTGCAATGGCAAGTAAACACAAGAGACATCTTTAGACACAACAAAACTCTTTAGCAAAGAGTGAGTAGAAACTGCAGTTTGGAAGTACCTCAGTTTTGGGGCCACAGTTCTCTATATTTTCCGGCACAGTGGGGTAAAACAAAAGCATATCAAGATAACATTTATGCCTTTATATTGTAAATAGTAAAACTTGCTCCTTGGCTATAATTCTTACCATAAGAATTATGGTCATAAACTCCAAAAACCTTAAACAAACCTTCAACATGGACAAACAAACATACTGAAATCAGAATGTTTAGCAAAAGCTACTTAACTTGATTTGCCTTCTGTGGAGAGGGGAAACTAGCCATCTACAGGAAAACTCAAGAGACATCTCAACAATAAAGCAGTGTATGATGTCATGCGTAGTTTTGATAACCTGAACTGTAACCTCATTTTCTATAAATACATTTGACCATTAACAGTGACTACTGGCATACTTAATTTTTCTTTAATTTTTATCGTTTGTGTTCACTGCTGCACATCCCCTTTGGTAACAAATAATGGGATTGATTGACTGACTGGTTGATTGATTGATTAATTCATTCATTCATTCATTCAGAAATATATTTTTGGCACAGTTTCCTGATACTGATAAAAAACATGGCTGTGTTGTTTTGTGATTTTTTTTTATGTGATGGCAGAAATGTATGTAGAATATTTACAATCACTTAAAGTTGTATTTTATGTTATCTTTGTTTTTGTTTTTTTTAAATCAGAAATGTCAATACATGAATTTACCAAAAACAGTAATGGTCTTATTTGCTATGACATGATTTTAATGACTTGCATGCATGGGAATTTCATTTGAAAATAATATGAATGAAAGATTCAACCAGACAGAATCATTTTGTTATTAGTCACATTTAATTTATACGCAAAAGCCTTTAATCTCACAGGCTCAGCTCAGTCTAATTGTTCTGCTCTGTTCAGGTTTTTTTTCATAACAGTCTGTGTTTGTAGATATTCACTTTAATGTGCCCAAAATCATTGTAATAGTTCAGTATAAATACTTTGATTGAGTAATTTTTCCCTACAACTATTGCCAGGTGCAATACCCATTAAGGTCAGTAGAGAGCAGGGCAGGCTTGGTTTTGCTTTAGAATAGTATGAGGGAGTCAAACTTCAAACTAAATAATGTGTTTTTATGTATCAAGTGAAGCCCAGTGAATGTAATTCTCTCATGGATGACTGTGAGGATAGTTATCAGAACATTATCTTCATGGTATAAAGCCATTTTAATTTAGTAATAACTTTGAAAAAATGAAATACCTGTCATGGCTGGTGTGTGCGAGGCAATGGCAAGGACATGAATGGAGATAAACACAAAAACAGAGAAGATCTGGACTGATTTATTAAAGAAAATAAGCTTACAGGCAGGTTAAGACAGACAGATTAAGATGCAAGTACAGCATACAGATACAGGAAAAAAGCAAAACAATAATTGTTATAAGTAACAAGATGTAACTCTTACTTTAATCCCTTGTCTTTTAACCGTCGATCCTGACATATATCACTACCATAGCATACTACACATACAAGCACACTATGATGTCATTAAAATAACTAATTTGACCTTTGGTATCACACAGGAAACAAACAACAAGTTCCTGGGTGAAAGTTCAGAGTTTGTTTGATCCATCAACCTCCCCTGCCAACCTCCATATGCAAACAACATCCACAAAAACTCATTCATACCCACTGCCATAAACATCTTAAATATACAATGAACAATGGACAAAAATAACCCTGATGCACTATGTCACTTTACACATATACACACCTTTTATCTTGTCTATTTTTACAGTTTTTAATTTTATACTTTTTATACTTGTTCTTAAGATCTATACACACTGTGTGTGCTCTCAGAATCTGTGTTGTGCAATTGCTTCCAATTAGTGTATTGTCTTGTTTTGCATGTGGAGCCACGTCGAAGAAGATTTTCTGTTACGACAGACAATAAAGTTTTCTGAATCTGAATCTTTTTTCACTCTTTCTATTACAGCAGTTGCTCAAAGCTTCAAAAAATGCTGCCACTTGATGTGTCTGACACCGCTGATAAATTGTGCATCTGTGCATCGGTATCTTGTCAGTATGTGAGAAGTTGTGAATGAGAGCAGGTTGTGATATCAGAGAAATAAAGGAGAAAGAAGTGACTGACTATGTTTTTTGACTTTGGAGTAAATCAAGTTAAAACTTTACTTTTTCCATAATGATGATAATTCAATAATATGCAATTATATAACAATTTGGGAACACTTTACAATAAGGTATATAAAAAAGAGTAGTTACTAATGAAATAATGAGGAACTAACAACTAGTTAATGGTCCTTCCTTGAGTAACTCTCAATCATATGTCATACAGGAGCTAATCATTAGTTAATAATGTATTAATTTGTAATGACTAAGGGAACTAATGAGAAATGAATGAGTAACTAACTATTAGTTAATGGTCCATTCTACCAATTGAATGTAATAGAGTTGCTAATTAGTTGTTTATGACTAGATAAATTAAGAAACAAGTAAGGGAACTAATGAGGAACTAACTATAAATTGATGCTCAGTCCATAGGGACTTGGGCTGGGAAATGGAGGGTCGCCTGTTCAAGTCCCTGTCCGGACCAAATATGGAGCGTAGACTGGTGGCTGGAGAGGTGCCAGTTCACTTTATGGGCACTGCTGAGGTGCCCTTGAGCAAGGCACCGAACCCCTCAACCGCTTGGGGCGCCTGACCAAGGCAGCCCCCTCACTCTGACATCTCTCCACTTTGTGCATGTATAGGTCCTGTTTGTGCATGTGTGTGTCTTTCGGACCTGTGTGTTAATGACAAAAGAGTGAAAAAAATTAATTTCCCCTCAGGGGGATTAATAAAGTATATAAAATTAAATAAATTAAAAATTAAAAGGTAACTACCCATCACATCTCATAGAGTGTCTAATCAGCAGTGAATGATTAGTGAAACGAGAGAGGAAACAAATGAGGAATGACCTGGAAGCCTACTTGTGAACCCTTAAATGGCAGGCTACTTTCCTAATAATTATGGAGGACTATATAGATACTGATAAGTTACAGAGAACAGAGTGAGGGATCCTATATTAATTCATCATTAGGTAATGATTAGTTCATGAATATCTGTGAATCTATCGCACTTTTTTCATGAGTAGTGACTGATTAAACTCTGAACCAATTGCAGAGTGGCACAATCAGTGTGATGCTTTTATTTTCCACTGGGATGATACTGCGGAGCTCAGGGGCCCCGAAAAGCACTGGGTTCCCTGTGTGGCTTTGTTTGGGAGTATAGTAATATATGCTGAGGTACAATATCAATCAACATGAAAGTGTTTTCAGTTGGGTGCTGCTTTATAAGAGGGACCCTTTATCAAAAATACAGTTTTAAGACTTTCATTATTTGAGCTTTGTGCTGACATGATGCATATTCCTAAAACGACACATAATAATATAATGACACAGAAAATCTGTGAGCCAGCACTGTAATGCTGTACACAATGCACGGAGGAGGTGAGGTCATGAGGTTTGTTATGGGTCCAGCAGCTTATTTTTACTCCACAGTGTACTAACAGTTTCATCTAGCCATGCCTCCACCCAGTTGTATTCTGTATTTTCAGGCTTCCTGGTAGAGTGGATGCATGAAACATGGCTGAATGGCATCGTCTGCAGTAGAGGACGCAGGTACCACAATGTCAAGATGACTTTGTTGATTTAAAATCAAACAAAAGCCCAAAATGACCAAATATGGAGATGCTGTCATGAATACGCCCAACAAATTGCCATTATTAAAATGTCTTCACTATGAATAAAAAAAAGTCGTAGTCCGTCATAATAAAGTCATAGTGTGTGCTCTTTTCCTCGGTGGTCCTTAATCATATGCTGGCTCCCTAAAATGGCATTCAGTCATCAAAACTTCCAGAACCCCTGATGCGTTGTTTTTAAAAATGCTCTTAAATGGTTTCTGTTTGGCATGTCACAGTGTCAGAGAAACCCTGACTGATAACGAGTAACTGCTTTATTCAGTGTTTCTACTGGTTTAAATCTCTTGGTCTGTTAGTTTTGGAGAGGAAGAGACCTCTGCTGATAATTCAGCTCCTGATAAAAACCTCCTGACCTCAACAGTGAGCTGGTTGCAATCTGCAATCCTCACCACTAGATGTCACTAAATATCCCTAATCTTACACACTGTTTCTGTAAAGGGTCATGTGTATTTACACTCTTGGTCTACAGAACAAAGTGATACAGGAGAGAGGGATGAAGTGAAATGCTCCTCAGAACCAAAGGTCAGAAAACATAATTAAAAAAATAACATACACTAATACTGTACAATAAAAAGCTGCAGTTCAAGTTCGGTTCAGCTCAGTTTTTTAGTGTCTCTAGTATAGAGTTCTCGATCTGCAGCTGGATTCCTCATATATCTGATGACCAAAGGTGCATACTGTTTCCCAAATTCTAAGCCAACATCTGTAAAGGATCACTGGTCTGAAACAAAAAACGTTTCTATATAAACAGCTTCAACAACACAACCGTGTCAGTAACGTAGGCTGGCTAGCCTCAGAGGGCTAAACAGCACAACATCCCTCTGTCCTTAAGACCATCACAGCAGATAAGGAAAAACTC